AGTTGTAATGGAACGTTTGTTCATGGCACAGAATTCTACAATTTTTCTGTTATCACAGTGTAGAATTCTGTGGTTTAGGGTGAACGCAAAATTTGGTGAACGCGCACCGGGTGAGAATAGCCACAAGACTCGCCTGCACTATTCTCACTCCGGGTGAGAATAGAGGTGGCCAAAAGTAAAGAATACGTTTAGTTAACAATACAACGGCAATTGTAGGTAGGTAGATTAGAAATCGGCGATTTTGTAGTTTCGTTCGTTAAAGTAAGTCAAGCAGGGGGGGCCTAAAAATTTTTAAATCCTAATTTGATGTTTTGCAGTTAGGTTGCATCCCTGCTCTTTGTGTAGCCTAATTCAAATAGCATTTGGTCTTCAAGACTTCTGGATTTCTTCTCTGAATGTAAACAAATGGATCGTGGACTTTAACGAACGGAACTACAAGATCTACTTCACATACTGGCTTAAATGGGCCTTCCGTCCGTAGGCCTACTGGACTCGAACTTCTTTTCTATGAGACGGGGTGGGAGATGAGTCGGTGGACCAGTCAGTCAGCTAGATATATCTAGCGAATTTCGCAATAGGCTAGCATTGGGCCTTGCAGATATTAAGCTTCAAAGGGGAAAACGGAGTGTCTGTCTACATACACGGTAACTGGGCACTGGGCACCTAGCCTCAGTGTCTACATACACGGTAAACGGTAACCGGACTGGGCACCTAGCCTCAATATCTACGTACACGGTAACCGGCAACCGGGCATGTAGTCTCTCTATCAGTACTATCACGTACACGATAACCGGGCAGTCCAGAACTCCAAGTTCAGTTTTGTCCACAGAATCCAGAACTCCAAGTTCAGTTTTGTCCACAGAATTCTACACTATTGTCATCCGGTGTTGCCTTCATCCCCACCCCTCCCCCAGCTGTACCTTTTAAAAAAATCAATAATTCCCCCCATTCCGGAGCCCTATACTTTGCAGCGCACAGACTTTGAATGAGCTTTGGTGACCCCAACCGGTACTCACAATGTGATGCTCCCGCACAGGTTCACTGACCGGTCACGATGGCGAGCCCGACAAGACGCTTGTACATGTATGACTTTCTTTTTTTTCAGCAAGTGACAGCACAGGGCAAATATTGATTTATTTTCATTCCGGTTACCGTGTACATAGACTTATACGTTCTTATACTATCATGCCACCCAGCCGACTACAAGCCCTCAGGAGATAGAGACCTACTGTCCAGGCCCACAGGTAGCAGATG